AAAAAAAAAAAAAGTCAACCTGCTGAATGGAAGACAATTACTTGCCAGTCACATATCTGGCAAGGTGTTAATATATAAAGAACTCATAGGACTCAGCAGCAAAACTGCAAACAATCCCATTAGAAAATGGGCAGACGGTCTGAAGGGGCATTTTTCCAAAGAAGACCTACACGTGGCCAGCAGACACATGGTAAGATGCCCAACATCACTCATCGTCAGGGAAATACAAATCACAACCACAGTGAGATACCCCTCACACCTGTTAGAGTGACTAGTATCAAAAAGACAAGAAACAACAAGTGTTGATGACAATGTAGAGAAGAGGGAACCTTCGTGGATGGCTGGTGGGAACGCAGGCTGGTGCAGCCCCTGTGGAAAACAGTATGGAGGTTCCTCAAAAAATTAAAAATAGAACTACCCCACGATACAGTCATCCCACTTCTGGGTATTTATCCAGAGAAGATGAGAACACGAATTCGAGAAGACAAATGTATCCCCCTTTTCCCTGCATCACTATTTACAGCAGAGAAGGCACAGAAGCAACCTACGTGTCCACTGGTGGATAAATGGATAAAGAACACGTGGTACGTATATTCAGCGGAGTATCGTTCAGCTAGAAGAAGGAAATCTTGCCATTTGTGACAATACGGATGGACACTGAGGGCATCAGGCTAAGTGAAGTAAGTCGGAGAAAGACAAATGACTTCACTTATATTTGGAATTTACACAAACAAACAAAAAAAGAAACAAATTCATGAACACAGAGAACCTACTGGTAGTTGTAGAGCTGAGGGGGAGGGGTGTCAGGAGGTTGGGGGGAATTGGTGAAGTGGGTCCAAACGTCAAAACGTACAAAGTCCCAGCAATTCAGTTCTTAATAGAAAGAACCCAAGGTTAACACAGAGGAGGTTCAAGGAAGAAAAAGTGCACAACCATCCAGCACATTATTTTGAAATTCCTTTAAAGACATTATAGGTTTCAGAAAATTCTCTGAAGGGTGGGGGACACAGGAGAATTTTTATAAAGGAAACCTGCCTGTCCCTATAGAACCTTCAGAACACAAAGTGTGTTTTTAATGGTTATTTATTTTTCAGAGAGAGAAAGAGAGCAGGGGAGGGGCAGAGGGATAGGGAGACAGAGAATCCCAAGCAGGCCCCTTGCTGTCAACACCGAGCCCGATGTGGGGGCTCGAACTCATAAACTGTGAGATCATGACTTGAGCTGAAACCAAGAGTCAGATGCTCAGCCAACTGAGCTAGCCAGGTGTCCCTAAAACACAACGTTTGGAGCTTTGTTTTATCATAAAAGCTAAGGACATAAACGCGTTCTTGACTTACTTATCCACATTTCAACAAAACTGATACAAACAAAGGGAAATTGGAATCGCCAAGATATCAAATAAAGGTGTTTTTTTTGTTTGTTTTCTTTCTTGTTTTTTAGAGAGAGAGAGAAAGCACAAGCATGGGAGAGGTGCAAAGGGAAAGGGAGGGAGAGAATCTTCAGTAGGCTCCACGCACAGCATGGAGCCCCACGAGGGGCTCGATCCCACAACCCTGGGATCATGACCTGAAAAGAAATCAAGACTCAGATGCTCACCTGACTGAGCCACCCAGGCTCCCCTCAAATGAAGGTTTAATTGCAACACCAAAGAGGCCGTATATCATTTTCTCAGAATTATTTCGAAGCACGCAAAGTGTGACGTGACACTGAGCTCACACCCGCACATAAAAGTTTTACTGTGCGGCTTTCATTTTCATCTGAAAGATAAAATCCTCATTCCGCTAAAGAATCTCCCCTTATCTGCTCAGCAGTTGAAGGAATTAACTACCCCTGGAGAGGCGACGCTCTACTGAATTTTTCCAAATTCATTCTTCTCTTCCAAAGAGCCTCCATTTTCAGGCCTGGGGAATTTATGACCACACACCCTGTGTTACCAGGGAATTTACACGCTGCCTCCCTTTGGGAAGGCAAAATGTCCCTGGGCGGTAGGGGCAGGAGGGGGAAACGCAGCCCAGAGAACTGAGTCCAAACAGAAACCCAACTTTGAATCATCATGGTTTCATTTTGAAAGTATGCCTGTCTTTTGATGGCACTGATGGG